TTAGTGAATTGGAATTTTCTTGAGTTTTTAGAAATGAAAAATAATCATTGAATTTGAGAAAAGTCCTCAATCTAAACCATTTCAGAAGCAACAACAACAAAATTGCCATTTTTAAAAATGCGACATTAAGAATGTACAGTTATGTTACTTTTCTCTGTTTTATACATTCAAATAGTACCCAAGACACAAGGACAGAGAAAATGAGAGAGGAGAGAAGAGATGGCAAAATGTCCTACAGAGGCAGGGTGGTGAGGGGTGTGGTGGGCACAGGAAGAGGGAAAGGAGCCCTAACCTCAGGGGTCTAGGACTTCGAGGTACTAGCTGATGTAAGGGATGGAGCCGAGTATGTGGGTAGAGGCAGGGTGGTGAGGGGTGTGGTGGGCACAGGAAGAGGGAAAGGAGCCCATAACCTCAGGGGTCTAGGACTTCGAGGTACCAGCTGATGTAAGGGATGGAGCCGAGTATGTGGGTCAGCTGAAGGATTTTATGTGGAACAGCTGAACCTGTCTGCCTCTACTTTGTTTCCCCCCATGATACTGCATCTATCCCTCCTTTAGACTAGAAGGTGAAAAGTCAAAAGGGAAGAGTTTCGGGCCTGGGCTATCAGGCAGAATGGAGAGAACAGGAGAGGGGCAGGTAGGAGAGAGAGAGAGAGAAATTGAGGGTGTGAGGGACATTGAATCATTTTTTTCTAGGGCCTTTGACTTTATTAATAATTAGAGCCACATAAAACCAGCCTGTTATCTCTGTCCCAGCAACCGAACCTCATGTGACCTAATGAGCCCAGCACTTGGGAGGCAGAGGCAGGTGGATCCCTGTGAGTTCAAGGCCAGCAGAAGGAAAGAAAAAGCTCTATAGTCTTCAGACAGCAAGGCAGTTATATTTCTGAAATGTATTCAGGATGTACTCAAGTAAATGGGAGAGCTGACCAGTAGGAAAGAGGGCTTAGAACTCACACATGCCACAGCTGAAGAAACCAGCTCACAACTCCTAAAAGGGTTGGAAAATAAAGTCAGTGACCTCAAACAGAGGTAGAAGAAAAAAGTCAGGACACGACAAGTGAGAGAGAAGTGATGAAGAACTTAGAACGAAGGCTGACTCCACTAGGACAGCACTTGACAAATGGGACTCTGACACAGAAAGAGAGGGGTGAAAGAACTCAGCAAAGCTAGCCCAAGCAAAGCGATGTATTGTGCTGGACAGACTCGAGACTCCAGACTGAGAGCCACTAAGTGTCCAACACAACGAATGAAAGAAAACCTGCACCAAGGCACGTCACTGAAAACACTTTAGATTATCAGTGATAAAGAGACCCTGCAGGGCTTCCAGAGAGAAGAGACGAATGCCCTGGGCAGCAGAGGGGAATCAGAGCAACATCAATGCTGGAGGACAAGGAAGTGATGCTCTTAAGAGTCTTGAAGAATAGGATTTTTAACCAGATTCTATGCAGAGATAAATTAGTAGTGACATGTGAGGCTAGCATATCACTATTTCCAGACAGCACTCAGAAAGTGTCTCTGTGTATCCTGAGATGTGCAGTTGAAAAAGAGAGAGGCCAACAGAGAAACAGGTTCTTTTTCAGAGAAGGTTGAGGGGTGGGTCCTGGAGGGTGGATGGTGAGGTGTCTGGGAAGCAACCAGCTGGCCCATCGAAAAATGAAGATATGGCACCTGGGAGCAGGGCATCCTTTGGAAAAGGACAGTGACTCTATTATCTTTATAAGAACTTGTACTTGGGGGCTGGAGAGATGGCTCAGTGGTTAAGAGCACTGACTGCTCTTGCAGAGGACCCGAGTTTGATTCCCAGCACCCATATGGCCACCATGAACCGTCCTTAACCCCAGTTCCAGGGGAATCCGATGCCTTCTTCTGACTTCCGTGGCATTGCATGACCTGAGTGCACTCACATACATGCAGGCAATACACTCATACACATAATTTTTTTTTTTTTTAAAAACCAAGAACTTGTGCTGGGCATGGTGGTTCACACCTTTAATCCCAGCACTTGGGTGGCAGAGGCAGGAGGATCTCTGTGAGTTTGAGGCCAGCCACAGTGTACATAGCGAGTTCCAGGTCAGCTGGAGCTACAGGGAGACCCTGTCTCAAAAAGACCAAAAAAAACGCCCCCAAAACCCGCAAAAGTTGTACTTGGTTAAACTCAGAGAAAGATTACTATACTTGATAAAAGTTTGAGAAAATTCAATATCCCACTTTTATTAACCCGAGGAGAAAACGACTATGACAAAAGTATTGGAAAGAAAAGCCGTCTTACTGCTAATTCTAAATTCTAAAAATTCTAATTCTAAGAATATATCATTTTTAGAAGAAAAAAATGATTGCTTATTAGAAAGGAAGTTGTTAGTTATACAGTACATGCAAGTTTCAGAGATGTTAGAAAATTAAAAAATTCTTTACAATATTATAAATAACATAGTCCTTGGTGTTGTTGTTAACTATATTGATGTGTTATTGATTGAACCACCTATTATGATGTAAATATTTTGTGACGACAATGAGAGGAAAAATATGGCTGTTCACGCCTGTGAGAAATGTGTTAGAAACTCAGCTACCAAGATGAAAGGCAGAATTTAATGCCTAGAATTGGTAAGTCAAGAATTAGCAGCTTTAGGGGACTGGAGAGGTGGCTCAATCATTAAAGTGCCTCCTGTGCAAACATGAGGACCTGAATTAGATTCCCAGCACCCACATACAATGTCAGGCACAGTAGCACATGCCTGTAATCTCAGCACAGGTAGGCAGAGCCCTGGAGCAGACTAGCCAGCCTAGCAGCATTGGTATGCTTCAGGTTCAGCAAGACCCTGTCTCAGAAGAGAGTGCTGTGCAACTGGGGAATAGATACCCAACATCAACCTCTGGCCTCCACACCTGCACACATATAAGAAATCATTAGAAACCCATATTAGTTACTCTTCTGTTGCCTTGATAAACACCAGGACCAAAAGTAACTTAAGGAAGAAAGAGCTTATTTTGGCTTATGGTTCCAGAGGGCTAGAGTCTATCATGGTGGGGAGCCATGGGAGCAGCACAGCAGCAGGAGGAGGATGCTGGTGGATCACATTTTATCCCCACACAGGAACAGTGTGTGTGTGTGTGTGTGTGTGTGTGTGTGTGTGTGTGTGTGAGAGAGAGAGAGAGAGAGAGAGAGAGAGAGAGAGAGAGAGAGAGAAGGCTATAAGACATCAAAGCCTGTCTCTGGTGACGTGCTTCCTCCATCAAGGCTCCACCTTTTAGAGGTTCTAAAACATCCTGAAACAGCATCTCCATCTCCGGACCAAGTGTTCAAACACATGAGCCTGTGGGGGCCATTTCTCATTCAAACTACCACAAAGCCTGCACTTTTAACATATACATTTTCATATAAACAAAGACAGGAAAACACACAGCCTTTATGGAAACTTGTAAGTGGGACTTGGCAAGCAATAAGAGATTTAAGATCTGTAAACCTACTCTGGGAAATGCTGTATACAGATGACGTCAAGACATATTCATATCTAGATGAACAGGCTTTCAGGAGGACCGGTTCCGTTCTGCAAATGGAAGCCTGTTTGAGGATGACCCAGAGCCCTCTTACCTTTGAAGAAAATTATTTATGTATTTATTTTATGTGTGTACGTGTTTTGCCTGCATGTGTATAAGTGCACCTGTGTGTGCAATGCTTGTGGAGGCCAGAGGAGGGCAGGAAATTCCCCTAGAACTGGAGTTACAGATGGTTGTTAGTTGCCATGTGGGTGCTGAGAACTGAACCTGAGTCCTCTAGAGGAGCAGTAATTCCTCTTAACCCCTAAACCATCTCTCCAGCCCCAAGTCCTCTTACTTTTGAAGAAAGCTTTAGAGTTTACAAATTGCTGGTCTGGGGGTGTATAGTGGAAAAGCACTTGCCGAGTGTGCATGAAGCTCTAGGTTCAAGCTCCAGTATTGCAAAACAACAAAGGAAAATTGATCCACATATAGCAATCCCTTTGGTTCTTATCAAGTATAACGATAACATTTCAGTTCTGCAGGGAGTGAGCCTACAGTGATCCCTGACAACCATGCTACATGAGACAGCTCAGCTGAGCTGCAGAATCCCATAGACATTTCTTCACTCTGTCCCATGATTTTTTTCAGAGGAAAGAGGAAGAGGAGAGGAAGCAGGGAGAAGAGCAGATTCGCCTCCAGGAGGAGCAGAGGGCGAAGGAACTCTACTGGACCCTGAAGCAGGCTCAGCTGCATTGCCAAGACAGCGAGAAAGAGGAGCGCGAGTGGGAAGAACAGTGTGAGTAGAGTTTGGCTTCTCTGGGCCTGGGGGCCTGCCCCACCTTCCCATGCGGCTTCTCACACCATGCATGTGCTCAGGCATCGTTTTGCCTCCTTTTCCCACCATAGGCGGCTTTACCTATGTGCATGGTCCTGTTGGGGACCCAGAAGGAAAGGGCCTCATACTCAAGGAACTTACATGCCTGACCTGGAGACTTTTTATATTATCACCTTTGCTGAGTTGCCAGTAATTCCCTATAGATCCAGATATGGGGACTTAAGTTGGAGGGATTCCCAACCAGAGCAAGCAGATAGACACATGAACTCAGGGCTTTGAAGGGGAAGGTGGTATATTCTGTTGGAGTGCACAGTGGCTATTCTGGAAGGCTCCAGAAAAGGAGTATCAAGTGAATCTTGATGGCAACACAGGGATAGCTGTGGCAAAGAGAGCATTAGAAAAACTTATTCTTACGTGTATGTGCAGGTGGCTGTAGAGGCCAGAAGAGGATGTGGGCTTCCCTGGAGCTCAGGTTATGAGTAGTTTTGAGCCACCTGACATGGATGCTAGGAACCTAACTTGGGGCCTCTGCAAGAGGCATGGACATGAGTCTCATGAAGGAGAAGTTTTTATTCACAGACCCCAGAAATTGGAGGTGTGACACACACTGCAGGGCCATGCAGGGAAGCACGAGGGTCAGTCAGGATCCAGGAGTGAGGATAAGACATGCATAGGGACATTTATTGTGGTTTCAGGAAAGGTGAGACCAGGCAGGCTTACAATCTGCTAGTCTGAATAGTTTCCCTAGTCTGCAAAGTGTAGGCACCATCTCCAGCTGTCTCTTTTCTGGCTATGGGTAGATGGATGCTGGCCCAGGTATGAAAGCCCCTCAGAGGAGGTGGTGGTTTCTATTTGGATGAAAGGCACAGTTGAAGGCAGACCCTTTACTGCCTTTAGGAATTGGGAGGGAGGGACAGCCCCTCCAGGATCAACAAAGGTCCCCAGGGATGTCAAAGCATCAGTCAAAACAAAAAAGTAAACGGTCATGATCAGTGAAGATCCTTCTATGGTTGAGTGTGTGAATGAGCAGGGGCTGTTGTAATATCACACTAGAGAAAACTGCAACTGGAACAGACAGGTGGGGCTCTACTGGGCAGCCTCTGGTCTGTGTCTTGACTATATGACTATATGCCAGATTTATTAAGTAGACTTTTTGGAAAAACTGATATGTAATTCACATGCCATAAAATTCACCCTTTACAGTATACAATTAAGCCTTAAAAATATACTCACAGAGTTCTGCAATCATACTGTTGTCTAATCACAGAACAGTTTATCACTTCTGAAGGAAATTCTTTACCCATAAATGCTCCCTCCCTTTGTCCTCCAAACCACTAACCTCATTTGTCTCTCTGGATTTGCCTATTATGGACACTTTATATACATAGAAAAATATATCACATAGTCCTTTGTGTCTGATATCTTTCCTCTACCAGGTGTAAAACTTTATCCATTTGGCAGACCTATCAATGCCTCACCTCCTTGAACCACATGCCAGTGCATGCATGTATTACATTTTTGTTTATCTATTTAACGGCTGATAGGTATTTGAGTTGTTTCTACTTTTTTGGCTATTACAAATAATGTTGCAATGAATATTTACATGTAAGTAATTTTTGAACATGTATTTGCAGTTCTCTGGGGTATACACCCAGGAGTGGAATTTCTGGGTTATATGGAAACAGTGTTTAGCATTTTGTTTAACATTTTGTTTCATAACCCCACTGTAGAAGGACTTCACTTTCTTCAATCCTAGCACCTGTGACTGTGTTTTTGATTATTGTCCTTCTAATGAGTGATGAAGTGGCATCTCATTGTAACTTTGATTTACATTTTCCTAATGACTGATCAGGCTGAACTTCTTTTCATGCACTTTATAGTAATTTGCCTATTGGCCTTAGGGAACCATCTATTCACATTTGTGGTGGTTTGAATGAAAATGTCCCCCATAGGCTCCAAGTATTTGGACATTTTGTCCCCAGATGGTGGCACTGTTTTGGGAGGTCTTAGAAGGTGTGGCTGTCCTGGACAAAGCACATCACTCACTGGGGGTGGGCTTAGAGAGTTCTTAAGCCTTGCTGGATTTCCAGTCACTCTCTTGCTTCCTGTGCCTACTTGAAGATGTGAAGGGTCTGCCTAGCCTCAGCCTGCCTGGAAGTCGCTATGTGGCTCAGCCTCACAGAGATCCACCTGCCTTTTGCTTTCTGAGGTCTGGGACTAAAGGTGTGTACTACCATGCCTGGTGTTATTTTTTAAAAAAAATTATGTGTGTGTGTGTGTGTGTGCGTGCATGCGAGGTACTTGTGGAAGCCAGAAGAGGATACCGAATCCTCTGGAGTTGTAGTTACAGATGGTTGTTAGCTGCCATGTGAGTGCTGGGAACCAAACCCATGTCCTCTGCAGGATCAGCCAGTGCTTTTAACCACTGAACCATCTCTCCTGCCCCCTTTTCACATTCTTGATGGTGTCCTTTGAAACATAAGCATTGTGAATTCTGATCAAGTCCCATTTACTTTTCTTTTTGCTGCTTGTCATTTGTGTTGTTTAATCCTAGGTCCCAGTGACTTAGACCTAGCTTTCTTCTAAGGGACTTCTAGGTTTGGCTCTTTGCATTTAGATCTCTGCTTCATTTTGAGCTAATTTTTCATGTGAAATATGGTTCTTCATTGACTCCGTTATTCAAATGCCATTTGTTTGAAAGATCATTCTTTCAAAGGTCTTGGCACACTTGTAAAAGTCAGTTGACCAAAACTACACCTGCTTCTGAGTCCTTAGCTCTAGTCTGTTGACCTTTTTGATGTTGTGCTGCTGGTATCACCCAGGCTCCCTGGCTGTAGCTTTGCAAGAAGTGTTGAAATCAGGCAGTAAAAGACCTTCACTATTCCTCTTCTTTTTCACCTTTTTTTTTTTTTTTTTGTCTTTTTGAGACAGGGTCTCTCTGTAGCCCCAGTTGGCCTGGTATTCACTATGTAGACTAGGCTGGCCTTGAATTCACGGAGCTCTGCCTGCCCCTGCTCCTGAGTGCTGGGATTTAAAGTGTGCACCACCATGCCTGGTAAGACCTATGTAGAATAATAATAATAAAAAAAAGCAGGCATGGTTATTTCTGATTTAGGGGAAATTCCAGTCTTTTATTGGCAATATGATGCTAGTTGTGCATTTTTCATTGTGTTGAGGAAGTTCTGCGCCCTCTTGGATTGTTGAGTGTTTTTGTCATGAAAGAGTGTTGGATTTAGCTGGGCATGGGTGGCACACGCCTTTAATCCCAGCACCCAGGAGGCAGAGGCAGGTGGATCTCTGTGAGTTCAAGACTAGCCTGGTCTACATAGTGAGTTCCAGGCCAGCTGGGGCTACAGGGAGACCCTGTCTCCAAAAGACTGAAAAAAAAGAGTGTTGGATTTGGTCAACTGCTGCTTCTACTTTTGTTGATAGTTATGTATTTTTGCTCTTTATTCTATTAATATGGTATATTCCATGGTTGAATTTCAAGTTGGAATCAGTCTTTCACTCCTTGGATAAATCCCACTTGTTTATAGTATGTAATATTTTTATTATCTTTCCAGGTTTGGTATGCTAATATATATTATGTAAATGTATGTGTGAGGTATACGTATTGTTGTGTGTGTACATATGTATGTAGGTGCGTGTGTGTGTGTGTGTGTGTGTGTGTGTGTGTGTGTGTATCTAGAGGCCAGAGGTCAGTGTTTGGTGATGGGAGTCCACCTTATTTTTGTTGAGACAGGGTCTCCACTGAACCTAGAGCTCACCGATTGGCTAGTCTGGCTTGCCAGGTAATTTCAGGTGCATGCTACTATGCCTAGCTTTGACATGGGTGCCAGGGACCCAAACTCAGGTCCTCATGTTTGTGTGGTAAGCAGTTTACTGAATGACCCATTGCCCCAGCCCTGGCATCCTAACATTTTATTGGGGATCTTTGAGTCAGTATTTGTGAAGGATATTGACCTCTATTTGTGATGTCAAAAAGTCTAGTTTTGTTTTAAGGATAATTTTGGCCTCAGTGAATGAGTTGAGAGGTGTTTTTCTGTCATTTAGGAAGGGTTTGTGACAATTTGGAATTAATTCTTCCTTAAACATTTTGTAGAATTTTCTAATAAAGCCACCTGGTCCTGGGCTTGCTTTGTGGAAAATTTAATCTCTTCACTTGTATTAAGCCATTTTTCCCTTGAATAAATACTCTAGGACTTCCTCAAGCTTTTGGTTAACTTCTAAAATTTTAAGAAGGTCGATTCTGACAATTTCCCAGTAGTCCCACTGCTTGGGAAGGAAAGGATTTTCAGAGGTTCTTTTTTTTTTTTCAAGACTTAAAAGAAGGTATAGGCTCCCATAGAACTAGAGTTATAGGCAGTTGTGAGCTGCCTGATGTGGGTGCTGGGAACTGAACTCTGGTGCTTGGCAAGAGTAGTACATGCTCTTGATCATTTAGCGATCTCTTTAGCCCTCTTTTCAGAGGTTCTTAATTCACCTTTGCTATTGAGAGCCTTCATACACACATCACACACACATATATATATATATATATTCATCCCTGAAGCACCCAGTTTCTGGTGCATATTGATAGTTATACGTGAGGCAGTCAATGCGTGCACAAGTTATAATGTAGCCTGAGCCTGGGGTTCATGATGGGTGATGATGAAAATTAAGGTTGGAAAAATAAGATGGGGGAAAGCTAGAGATGAATCAATTCATCCAAATTCAGAAAGAAAGAAAAGGCGAGTGGAAAGAGACAGGGCAGCACTTAGATTAAAAACATAGTGGCAAGAATAGAGTGAAGTTGCTTGCGGTCACTGCAGTGAATGCTGGACGGGAGAGCTCAGCCACTTAGCGCTGTGGCCTCAAGCAAGTTCTTGTTCAGTTGCTCAGGTTTGTGAAATGGGGTAACCATGCTGTGTGGAGAGAGGACTGGGAAGTTCGTGCACTTCTGAAGACCTCCTCTTTGAAGC